TGAATATAATTATTATACAGGGCATAACTATTGAGTTAAATAGAACAAATTTGGTGTGTAAGTCTGCTGAAAAAAATTACTTGAGACTTTTGCCTTTTAAGATCCTTAAGTTACAGGATTTTAACAAAATTGACATTGAAAAATTTTTTGCTCCTTAAGGGGGCCAGCAGATTTAAAAAGGTTGAGAATTCACTGGAATAGATATATTCTTTATTTAGTTAAATAATCAACAGATATAAACTACAGATAATTGCAAAATAAAAGCAAATAAATAGAAATTAATAGTACAAAGTCCGAGAACCAGACTCGTTAGGATTCTGGATTTGCAATTTTTCTGTGTATTAAATCTTCAGTTTAAATCTAGAAAGATGATATGTAGAAATTATAAAAATTAAAAATATGAAATACTGATTTATGAAATATTCTCAACAAATTTTCATTTTCTTCACTATTGACAGTGATATTTGACCATACTACAGATTTTACCATCTGTTAGTTGAGTGATGATTGGAGCATTGTTATCACAATGTTACACAATTACATTCTTATCACAATGGAAAATCTTATGTTATATCATTTTCATTTACTACCACTTTCCCACATTTCTTTAAAAATTTTATTAAATGGAAAATTTTACTTTCTGTCTGTGATATCTGAAAACCTTCAAATTCATGGCTATCATCATAATGTTTAGTTAGCATCAGCTATACGCTAATGGTTATGTATCATGAGATAAGAGACTAAAAACATGTTGTCCACCAATTTTCCTTTTCTTCTTTTCCTTTTCTTGCACATTAAAGAAATTATGAATTATATTAGTTTATGTATTTATTATACTTATACTATTTTTAGGGCATGCTTAAGGCTTATCAGAGTTCCGAAGAAATAAATTTCCATATGTACTTAAAGCTTATCCATGTTCGATACTAGACATTTTGTAGCTCAGTGCAGTCTCTGCAGGTCCAAAATTCTGCAGCCAAGCATCTCCCTAGGTTCTAAAGATTTTGCCATCTCTTAATTAGGTTGCTTGGTGCTTGTCTAAATTCTAAAAATATTGGCCTTTCCTAAATTCTGCCACCTGGTGCAGCCGCACCAACTCTGACACTGGTCCTGGACTTGATAACAAATAAATTCAAACAGGGCTAAATGTAATCTTTTGGCCTGTGAATAAATATCATTTGCAAAATCTTTTTTTTCTCCTCCCACATAGAAAGAAATTTTTATTAAATTTCTCCTCATCAACAATTCAACGCACCGAGGTTAGTTAGTTTCTAGTAATCAGCGAGCATAATATCAGCATAAGAGGTTGCCATACTCTTTGATATTCTATTACTAATATGAAAAATTTTTTAAAGTTTACACATCTCTACATGAGTCATTTCTCAAGCTGCAGTGTGCTGATAATCATGCTGTGAGAAAAGCAAAAAATAATAAATAATTACTTGCCAGGTTGGTGTAAGTGCTGATAGGAAATTAAGAATCAGGAATCTCCAAGTATTATGTTATTAAAAAAATCTGATGTGTACACCACATGACTTCCTTGTATTGGAATATTAAATTATACACATTTTTTCTTGCATTTCATTTCAACTTATTGGATTGAATTAAATCTACTTCGCCGACAGCGCATAAACCACAATAAAATAAATGCATTCTTTAAAATTCACTCTAGTATTTGTTTACCATAGCGACACTCTGGCGCTAGATTCACTTAACAGTATTAATAATTATATAACAGTTAAGTTATATAATAATTTTATAACGGAAAACTAAGTTAACTGTTTATCAATCCAATAATTATATAACAGTTAACTTAGATATTTCGTTCATATTATAACTCATAATGCACACAAAATTTATATCATTTAAAGAATAGAATTATCTAATCGTTGCCACATGTTCTTTCAAATACTATAATAAAGCTGATGTATAAAAGAAATTAAGCAACAAAACAAAAAGAAACAGTTTTTCACAGACGATTGAGTATTTCTCATTTAATTAATTCAGTTCTCACTTCGAGAGAAGGGCAAAAATACATAAAAATCAAAATATCTATATTAAAAATTACAAAGTAAATCTCAAACGCTTATTTCCTCAAAAAATTCCAGAAAGGATTAAGCATGATTTGAATAATAAATGAAAGCGTTATCTTTGTTGTTGCGAGGCTAAGTTTCTCTAGATTGGCAACAAATCCACTAGTCTCCTGTTTCAAATGTAAACATCAATGGCCGCCATTAAAAAAGGCTTAGCGGCAATTAAACACTTTAAAATTGCTGATAATTCTAAAAAATATGCACACAGCATTTACTAAAGGCATAAAAACATTAACCGGATAATTCAATCATTTTTAAAGCAAAAAGTACAATTTACAAACATATAAGAATAAAGAAACTGAGATCACTGAGCCGGGTAGAGTGGATATATATATAAATATATTTATATACGTTTGGTGCGGCCGATTGCAACCAAAATACGAGGGTGCACATTACATGTTATAGCAGTCCTATAATCAAAATTTCAACGTTCTGAGGCTACTCGTTTTTGAGTTATGCGAGATACACACGTACGTACATACGTTCGTACAGACGCCACGAAAAATTCTCTTCAGATTAATTTTTTAAAGCAGTTTTATAATTTTTTTGAAGGAAAAGAGTGTTTTATTCTGTCTTTACGTACAGATATCACGCAGAAACATCATTAAACTGCATTCGATAGCGGTCAAAATGGATATTTTCGTTGAAATATGCTGCCTGAAACTTTTCGCGATTACAATACTTCCTTTTTACTTCGCACAAGGAAGTAAAAACATCAAATGCACAATGTAAAGCATAAAAAAAAAAAGAAAGAAAGAAAAGAAGAAGGGTTGCTGGTGATTTGGAGGTTGGGATTTTAGATCTTTCTGGATATTGGACATCTGGATTTCAGACCTTGTACTGTATATTCTTCTTTACAAAAAGCAATTGGCTTATCGAGAGCTATAAACTGATTTATATAAAACCACACTGAGGATCTTACAGTTATGTTGTAACATCACACTTACCCATTATTTGCGCTAACGTTTCACTGTTTGGTGACAGTGTTCTCTAACATGCTTGCTTACTGTTTCGAAGGAGGCAGGTCTAAAATTCTATAATATTCAGGTTAGTTGATGCTGGATAGGTGAGCTCTTACAATAAATGTTACTTATTGCAATAATGTTAAAAAATAAAAATGAATTGCTTCATTACAACTTGAATAAAATTTCAGGGTATGTTCTGATTATCTGCACCCTGGCAAGAAGTTTCTTCCACGAAGCATTTACAAACTCATTGGTGACTAATTTTTTGCAAAGCTAATACATGAAAGGCAGCAGCCATTTTCAAAATGACAGCACACTAAGATTTCCATACAAGAGCAATCATTCAATAAAATAAAGCAGAAAATATCACTAATAAAACTTACCTTTTTGAGAAATTGTCTCTTTTTTGTGCTGTTGTTATCTCCATGTGCACAGCGATCTATTTTCACTTTGAAAACATCAGAGAAGTGCACAAATTTTGCATCTATATAACTTCAGTATTGCACACCGGTCAAAACAGGCATGCATTATGTGGATACGTGGGTTGCCACATACTATTTTAGCAGCATTCTGCTTTGCCTGATGAATACTCTTTCACAACTTTTTGGTAATGTTGCAGATAATCAGAAAGTGTAGTGAATACTTTGAAATGTGATGCTAAATGTTCAAACAGATAATAAAAAAATTAGTGTAAATAGTTTAAGAATATGATATTTCATAATCTGAATTAAGCTTATGTGAGTAATACTCTATGCTGAATTCATGATTGACTGCTATTTATCAATTCATGATTGACTACTATTTTAATTTATTTAAAATATTTTTGCTGTTATAGCAAAAATGAAAATATAACTTTTCCATACATCTGGTGCACGAAATAGTTACTTTGATTTGTGAAATAATACATTTTTATAAGTGCCTCTGTATGGTCTCATCTGGATTTGAAAGAAATAATCTTAAAGAATGTTATAATTATCAAAACAAATGTTTGTTTATGCATGAAGCAAAAATCAGTGTAGCAAAACAATTAGTAAGACTATTTAATGTTGACTTCTAGAACATCCTATGATATTAAAATTAGCTTTTTATCATGAAAAATGACATTTGATATTAATCAAATTCATGAAAAATGGCATTTGATATTATATGAATAATTTTCTTAAATTTTTATGTATTTTTATGACTGAAAAGAAAGGTAAAATAAAATTCTGCCATTTGAAAATTCCATAAAGGTGAAGAATGTGTAAGAAAGAATTATACAAGGAGTTTTTAATTCATGAGAAAAGAGTTTTTAAACTCCTTTTATTTCTTTATCGGATGTATTTTGTTGGAAAAATTGTATAGTAACTGATATAAATAAATAAATAAAAGACAAGCTTTGAAAGTAAGAATGAGTAATCTGCTTTGACAGACATGTTGGTAATCCTTTCCCTTAAGTAATAGCTCTTTCCTTTTTTTATGGAAAAACTGACTAGTGGCATAAGGAAAAAGAAAACATTTAATCTCATAACTAGGAGCTTCAGACCCCTTTGACCTTTCTCTTTCACTACTACTGAATGAGTTAAATATAATGTTCCCAAAATGCTTCTCTCCCTACAAAAAACTTCCACCTTCAAAATATTTTAATCTGCCTTCACATTATAATCTTATAAATAGACATAATGGAATTGTGGATGAGAAGTAGAATTCTAACTTTACCTGCATTTAGCAGCTAAACCATTAATATAATTCTAAATTTAATAAACATTATTATACAATTTTTTCAAAAGAAATGTATATATTTAATCTCAAGAAAAAGAATTTTATTAATTGTGGAAACATGTAATTAATTTTATTATTCTTGTGATGTTATATCAAGTTTGGTTTGGTTTATTTTACTATGGCAAAGCATATGAGGGCTATCTGCTTAGAAGTAGGGATGGCTTCATAGAGAACTTTCTAAGGGAAACTATCTTGTATCCATGTTTAACATGGGAGAAAGCACGGAAATGCCCATGCAGCCAGCCAGTTCGCCAGAATTCGAACCTACTGTTTAGTGCCTTTACTGCTTGGCTGCTGGTGAGCACTGCAATCTGAGGAAAAATACAGTTAAACATAGGGCTTGGAAAATAGTATGTGCTGATATTACAGCTAAATTTAAATATTCTTTTTCTTATATGCCTGTGATAATTGTCAATAAATATTTTTATTTTTAGGCATGCTTTTTAAGGGGCCTGAACCCTGTTGGGTTATCAAAAGAAGAAATGATCACATGGCTGTCTCAATGGATATTTATTGCGCAGAATATTGAAAGTAAGCTGGCTGTATAAATTTTTAAAAAAGTTAAAATATTATGTATAATGTTAATAAAAATGTGAGCAGGAGTTTTATTGATAAATCTTGATAACATTCTGTGGAATTAGATATTTTTCTTCCGCATTAGAATATTAGAGAAATATGAATCTGAAATCCAAAACTTTTTAACAGATATTTAGTAACTTTTTTAGGATTTTTTATGAATTATTTTGGGATGTTTTATATGTGAATCCATGAAACAACAGTTTTCTGTTTATTTTATTAAATTATGTTGAAATAAGCTGCAGGTCATTGAAAGTTCAACACCATGAAGAACAGATGATAGCAAAATCATGCAGTAAAATATTTTGCAAGCTCTGTCTTAATATACACTGAGAAGGTGACAAGTTACTGAAATGGTCAAGTTTGAAAAGATGAGTTTTTCACAAATGGTAATATTTCGCTCAACACTCAAATCCATGGCAGTTTTATTAATATTTCCCTTATTGTTTGTGGAAATTGTTTCGGTTATCAATAGATGACACTAGCATTCAGATGTTTAATGTGGCATGTTGCTTCTCTAGACTCCCCACTGCACATCCTCTTTTGTAGTTACCTTTGATTTTACACCCCAGTTGGACAGGAGCAATAAAATTCCTTTAAAATGATTTGATTTTTTGTTCGTTAATGTTTTTGATTCTGTGTGATTAATTAAACAAACTGCCAATAAATGGAAACATTAAACATTTTGCTTTTTAAACCATTTGATGTTGATCATTTTATTACATTTTCCAGCCTTTTAAGGCATCCAGTTTTATTTCTGTTGACATGTTGGTTTGTTTACTTTTCTTCTCGCTCCACATTACCACTTGCAGAGACAATGCAACACTTACAAACCTGATATTAACTCAGAAACTCTACCCAGAATAAACTGAAGGTTTAACAATAGAGTTCAGCTGTAACCTTCCAGCAAGCCTGTTGACAGCTAACAACAGGAATGTAAGAGATAATCGACAACAGCTATTTTTTACTGAGAAAGTACTTTACTGAGAGCTACTTTTTTACTGACATTTGCAAAGAAGGATACAGAGATGAAAAGAACAAAATGTATTAACAAATTCATCATAAGGGTTCCAGGAAAACCAAATAGTGAAAGAGATAAAATTTGCAAAATTGGAATAATGTAACAAATCTTTGAACAGAAAGGAAAACATATACTTGGGTACTTAAATGCAGATATGTTATACAGAGCTTCTACTGCAGTTGCAGTATTTCCCTGTAACCTAAATTGTTATCTACTATAGGCCTCATGTTGATAGTTACATGAATGGGTCCCAAGGTGAGTGATCTTGCAGGAGAGAGAGGAAAACATGTGAATATTCATATGCATAAATATGTACTGTAATTATAATGCACTTATACTATTTGCACCATATAGGCGATACTAGAACGTATTACAGCTGAGCTATAACCACATTATTTTGAAGATAATTTCAGCTTGACCTGCAGAAATCATTCAGCAACTGAAGAAACAGGTGATTGTCGAGTTTGTGGAACTCTATAGTATTTGTTTTACAAATAACTTATATTCATAGAATGAAATGATTGCATTTCCAGGTAGTTTGGAACCACAGAATGTGTAGGGAACAATAACACATGTAGCTTCAATAACTGCTGTTGTATGGTCTGCTGTAATGTGAACTGACTCTGGAAGGCAGCCTAGACTATTGCAATATTTCAAGTTTAAATTCTTTGTGAAATTTCATCTGTTATAGCTTCTAATAATCATTGTCCTGTCAGTCACTGTACAGCAAATGTATTAAACTGAACAAAAATTTGGTAAGCACACTGGTCAGATCTGAATTGTATACCAAAGAAATGTTTCACATAGCATGTAATGTGCAGTAATGCATTGTCTTGTTGGCTCTACCAAGGCTCTGAAAATGTGGGGCAGCTGCAAAAACTAATGCATTAATGATATAATGCTGGTTAGTCAGTGTATTTGATGTGGGTATTAAATATGAATCAGACTCATGTTTGTTGCCATTCATGTCGTTATTCTGGTGCTGGCCTGGTATTACAAGACATAATATAAGACTCCAACAATCAGTCCTTATAATACTCTCATGCATGCCATGACGACTAATTCATGAGCCTCATTCTGTGCAACAATATAGCCACAAATATCTGTCTTTTATGTAATATTTCTACAGATCATTTCAGTGAAACACATTACTTTGTGCAGTTTGAAAATTAATTTTGAAATGTAAAAGCATTATGCACATGTGATATAAAATTTATATGTTTACAATCATAATGTCCTTTAGCAACAGAAAATTGCATGCTGGGGAAAAGTTGTAAAATATTGTATGTTTGTCGCTTTTGTTTTCATGATTTTATTTATGGATAATTTCCAATAACAAAATTTACAGTATTGCAGTACAAAGTCTGAAATGATCTAATCTCCAGATCACTAACCAAAAAAAAAAAAAAAAAAAAAAAATTATTTCTAATGACAAGGCAAATACAAAAGAACATTAAAAGTGACCAAGTCATTGCCTCAAAAGTTCTCTAATACACCAGTAAAGCCATAGCTACTATATAAGATGAAACCATAGCTACTTGCAAATATTCCATGGTGCTGGAGATAATGTTGCAACATATGAGTGAACTTTTTTATGGCTCTACCCACTTTTGTTCAGGCTCACAATTATGCTCTACATTTTCATTTTAAGATTTTACATTTTTTCATTTATTATAATTATTGCATGAGTGGAATTGTATTTTATTTTAATGAAAAATTTGAAATTTTTTCATATGAAAATGCTAAAGATGAGAAATAATTTTAAAAAATTAAAATTTTATTTTCAAATTACTGGAAATTAGATTCATAAATATGCTGCACAAACAAATGTTATTGAAAAATGTATGTGGTGTTAAATTTTGTTTATATATTTTCCACGCATTAATTTGATTTTTTTTTTTTTTTTTCCTATTTTGAGTGATTAGAGAAAAATTAGTAGGCTATTTTGTCATAATCATGGTTTCCGAAGTTATAATAATAATAATTCTTGGATTTTCTGTTTGCCATTTAAATGCGCTGATTTTAGTCTGAACTTGCATTTTTTAACATATTTAAATGCAGTCAAAAGTGCTACATATGCTTAGCTGAAATTAACTTCAGTTATTTTAAAAGTAATAAATTATTCTTTTGGGGACATAAATCTTCTGATTATATTTTTTTCATAATTTGTAATTAGTTTTCTTTTGTAACTTTTTCAGGTAAAAGTCTGTCTGTCCTTTTACATTGTCCAATATTTTTGTCTTATAACTATCCTAACAACTGGGTTCTCATTCATTAGAAATATGTAAAAAAGAATTTAAACTGTTACAACATCTATTTATATGCAACAGAACTTTTGTATATATTTGAAAATAGACATTTTGTGTAAATCTGTAAATTTCTAAGTGTAGTAAATAAAATATTTATTTGATTTGGTTGTCATTATTTTTATCCAACTGTAATTGAGTTTAATAAAAGAATATTAAAAATTAAGTAATCCTTTACAATAATTAATTTTAAATTTGATAAATCTTGTATTATATTTTTGGTATAATGCTACCATATTTCCAAACAACCACATTCAGAAACTTTATATGAGTATATTTATAAGTGAACATTATATATGGCAGTAGTTTCTGCATCATACATTATATGCATGATTAACATATATGGTGTATATTATAGTTATGTTATACATATATTTATGCATGTTGTGATCAAAGATTACACACATGTTTACACATACAAGATGTATCATAAAATCCTTAAAATACCAAAAATACATTTTGAGCACTGAAAGCTAAAGTTGTAAAATTTGTGAATTTCAGTAGTACTGTGATTAATCTGTGCCATATGAAACTGATTGCAGTTCCCACAGAGGAAAATTTTCTAAATTAATAATCTTATCATGAAAACTTTGAGAGATAGTAAAAAATATTCAATAGCAAACTTGCAGAACATCTCTAATGTAGAAGGAAGGATTATTTGAACAGATACACCGAAGTGCAAATCCTCCGTATCTGATTAAACAGGCTCACACTTGCATATGCAGCCAGTGGACATGTGCTAGTCTATGCTGTTGCTCAGCAATCTGCAAACATTTTTGATCACATACCCATAGGATTAAAATAATTATAAGTTATACCCCATATAATATAATGGAATGTATTATGCATGCACTTTAAAGCCAGTGCAGTTATGAAAAGCTTTACAGATGCTATTGAAACCAGACATAGCAGCCACTGAGAGAATCTCATATTCACATGATACATGATTATACACTTAGAAGTGACCCTGCATCTATTTATTTGATATATCCTTAAGTATCGCTTTTTATACCTCACTCTGGATACCACTGCTGTAGCCAACTCTCACTATTCTACAAGAAACATCAGTACAGCATGTGATTTTACATTTAGTTATGTATGGCAGATTTTTCATGACTTACAAACTCACCTGTACAGTACAACCAAAAAATTAATGCATGCCACACTTAATATGAAACAAAAAAATTTACTATTTATGAAGCTATATATTTAGTTATTTAATTTTCTTTTTGTGCAGTTTTCTTTTTATATCCTATTTATGTAATTAATTTTTTTTTTAATTTTCTGTTTATGTGTAGATATCTAAGTTACTTCACATGGAATTTACATATTGACATTTTTTTTATTTAGTGTATTAATTACATACATTCTTGTATAAAAGAAAAACACTAGAAATATTCATTTTTTATTCTTACTTGTTACTATAAGAATTATTCTTTTAATTTCTGCTGATGAGTGAAGAAGATGCAACATAGTTTTAATTATTATTGTTAAAAGAGAAAACATCTATTTTTCTATATAATTCTTTATTTGAAAAAAAAAATTTTTTTTCTGTACCTTTCCAGGGAGAGGGAAGAATTCTTTACATATGCATTACTTAAAAGATGCCACTTTATTTCAAAATATCTGTACCCGTTTTCTTCAAAAAGATGTGAAAAATTTAAAGCTTCAAGACTTTAAAAAAAATTGCCTGACTTGGAATTTAGCATCGTTTAACTTTTAAAAGAGGATCACTGAAATTTATTTATTTAAAACAAGTACTTTGAAATATTTTGATGTTATCATTCTAGAACTTCATTCCCATCAGAACTTATTTTAGAAGATATTCTCTGTGTCTAAAATTTGACCATTGTTGGTTAGATATATCTTTTCAATTGGTATAATTGATAACACATTAAGATTTCATAAAATATTTCATGATAATTTTCATTTTATTTACTAATAATTAAAGTTAAGCAATGAAGGAGATATTTAACTAACATAGCACTCTGTATATATATTTAGAGAAAGTTGAGGGCTTCATAGAGTAGTTAAAACTGATTTGATGATAAACATACTAAAAATTTACAAAAGTAGCATGAAAGTACTAAAAGTGTTCACTCTCAGTGCGAGTTCTTCTGTGGAAAGATTATCAGAGATAGTACAACTGCTGCGATGACTGAGTGTAAATACCTCTAATCATATGTGTGAGATATCATAAGTAAAAAAAAAAAAAAAAAAAGTGTCAGCAGGGTACACTTCATTTTAGTAAGAAATTCATACATCTGTGGGATATTATTATGAAGAAAAATTCAATATAATATTCTAGAATTATGAATTAATAGTTATAAAAACTGCATAACTCAAACATGCAAGGATAAATCTGGATGAAAGTTCTTGATTATGTGCTTCATTTCATTTTTGAAATTGTAAAAACTGAGGTAATTACTTAAATTACTAATTTTACTTTATAACTATTTTGCATATATGAAGCATATACTCTATGAGATTACATGACTACAACTTTATAACCATGTTCTCCTAATATTTCTATTACCTTGTTTATAATTTTAATTTGATGCTAATTCCTTCCTAAAATTCCTTATGAATTTCCATTTGATGTTTTTTAACTTCATCTCATTATGACTGTCTTTCTAAATTTTTATGTAATTTCTACAATTAACATGCATATTAAAAAATGAAAAATATTACAATAGTTCATGCATTTATTTATTTGAAAAAGCATTTTACTGTACATACTCTTGGTAGAATTTAAGGAAAATAATTTGAATTTATAAAAAATGTGTTTTGATTAATTGTATTAACAAATCTAAAAATTGAAAGGCTTTAAAAGTTTTATAAAATAAAATGTTATAGAGAAATTATGTAAAACATTTTGACAAAAATAAACTGTCATCATGTTCTGAAAATTGCTCACTTGTTATCAACAGTATAAATACTTCAAACAGATGTAACTGTAATATTTCTACAGATCATTTCAGTGAAACACATTACTTTGTGCAGTTTGAAAATTAATTTTGAAATGTAAAAGCATTATGCACATGTGATAAAATTTATATGTTTACAATCATAATGTCCTTTAGCAACAGAAAATTGCATGCTGGGGAAAAGTTGTAAAATATTGTATGTTTGTCGCTTTTGTTTTCATGATTTTATTTATGGATAATTTCCAATAACAAAATTTACAGTATTGCAGTACAAAGTCTGAAATGATCTAATCTCCAGATCACTAACCAAAAAAAAAAAAAAAAAAAAAATTATTACTAATGACAAGGCAAATACAAAAGAACATTAAAAGTGACCAAGTCATTGCCTCAAAAGTTCTCTAATACACCAGTAAAGCAATATTTCAGAGTTTCCAAGAAATGACAGACATTGACGGAAGTGGTCTCTATTCACTAGTTTTGCTGAATTACAGAGAGGACAGCCATGGTTCGAAAAGATTCTAATGCAATGGAGGTACTTTGCCAAGCAGTCATGTCCAGTCAGGAGCAGGAACTGGGCAACAGCTTCCAGGGATGGACTGCTGGGAATTGCTGAACGATCTTCAATTCTCCAATGCTTTATCCTATCTTGAATTTGCAATATTACTTGCTTGACACAAAGCCTATTGAAATGGAAAAATTATGTCTAAATTTCCATTTATACTAGTCTCAAGCCCCTTTTCGCAAGACGTTAGGCCTATTTGTTCCCAAAAATGACAGAATGGCCAGGTACCTACTGAAAAAAAACATGTTTCATTTTTAAAGCCAACTCGTGTAAATAATGCATTGGAAGATTTCCTCCAATGAGGGCAAACTCGAGGAACTAGTGGCCTGAATTACAGCCTGGAAACCAGAAAAAAATGACTGCTGTAGTAGTAAGAAAATAAATAAATAAGCACTTTTCCCCATTTCAAAATCTAGGAATGCAGACTATAATACTCAGCGAAAAGGAACAGCTATAAATTTTATGTTTCTGCCAACTGAGATTTCTGCATGTCACTTTCAAACACATGCTGACTAGGGATATGGATATGGTGAAGTGTGGTGACAACCAACAACTAACTTGTTTAAACATAGGCAGTGTGGCTATTGTTCAGCTACACTAATTATCCAAATAACTGCCCTTCAAAGGGCCCAGAAGTGGCCCCACCAGGCATTGCATAGCACTATGCCTTTTGTGAACAGAGAGTTCATTATGTTTCTGATTTCCTTTTTTCAGATGTTTCTTCTTGATTAGCATACTTTATAAAAGTATTGAGTTCACTTTTTGAGTTTGGAAGTTTTATATGATATTCAGCTGTGACAAAGCATTTAAAGAAGTAGAGTTCACGGCTGCTTCTTTCTACACCTGCACACTGATCTGACATAGCCAAGTTCCTTTCATAAAAGTTCTTTGGAAAGAGCCATGCCTCAATCTGAACCATGTTATTTCTGTTGTTATTGAACTGGGTGCAGTGCCTACTTTTGGGAACAGTTGATTGGTCCTTCTCTCTTGTTCGTTGTTATTCCACCAGATCTAGATCTGTCATTCAGCTTCAGATTTGTTGGTTATACATTTTTTGAGGTGTAAGCCAGTCCATGGCACTGATATGTTTTATGTGTTTTGACCCCTAGCTGCTTCTTTGGCTAAGATAGGATATCGACATCTTCACTGCCTTTTTCCCTGCATGTACTTTCAGCTGAGTGACAAAGAAATGTTGATTTTGTGATAAAGAAGTTCTTTTTGTAATCTCTTGGAGTAATTTTGATCTGTGGTGCAGGTTAGCAGTGGAGTGCAGTGCTGAAAGACTGTCTGTGAAGACAAATGATGTTTTTTAGGGAGTTTGTGATGCTCTGTTTTATTGTTTCAGTTGTAAAGTTGGAGCTAGGAATATTTTGATTGTGCTGCATTTTCCTTCTACGCCAGAATTGTCTATATAGAACAGGAAATTTCTTTTCGTTTGTTTCTTTTTCCATGCTTAGTGTGATGTTAGTTTTCTTTCCTTGGTGGTGCTCATATGAGTGTGCTGGTGTCTCATATTCCTCTGCTAAAAGTTCTAGGGAGTTGTAGTTCTTTCACAGTTGCAGTACTTTTGTCTTATGGAATTCTTGTTCAGCCCGTATAAAAAAAATGGTATGCTGTTAGCGATTTGAAAGAGGGCTGTATTTAATATTGTTCTGTAGCTTGCAGTGAAGTTGAGATGGAAAGCCCACTGGATTGCATGATGCTTTTTTTTTTTTTTTTTTTTGCTTCCTTTTTGTCATCGGTTCTGGCCATATGGCTGCCCCGTTTAGCGCAGTTTTCTCATTTACTATGTGGTAGAATCATAGCCAATAATAATGCTGGATAGAATTATACTTTCGACCCATGATTGTTTGTGCGAGGAGGCAGGACCAGTGCTACACATTTTGAGAGCTAGTGGGATCTCTGCGAGTCCTAAATTAAACTGGCCGGCACTCCCTAAATTCTAAAAAGTTTACCGCTCGTAAATACTGCAAGCCATTGCTTCTCCTAAATTCTAAAAATTTTCCCATCGTTGCTGATTGGTGCTCCTCCAAATTCTAAAATTTTTGCTACCCCTAAATTTCTGAGGCAAAGTGTGGCCGCAACAACTCTGGAGCCAGCCCTACTGGAAGATTAGTATTTTTTTTATCTGACTTAAACAATAAGTGAAGCACCAGTGTTGCCATGTCTACATGTCATCGTATTAGATTTAAAGGGACATTCTAAAATCCTTAATTGCCGAAGAATGATTACAGATTTTGTACCGTAATCATACTGTTATGATTCTCCATAACTTTTTTTTCCCAAATGTTGGGAAATTTGCATTCTTCCTTTGCTGCTGTGCTGAGCAGGAAAAGGTAGAGTACATAATCCAGCAGCAGAAACCAAGTAATGTTGGTGAAGAGAGCGTGTGCCCCAGAAGTGGGTGAAGACTTTGTGTCTTTCCGATATGCTCATCTCGAAAAGAGATGAATACGAACGAAAAAAATGAAGGAACACCTAACGTCTTTCTTCGAAATTGTAGACAAACTCTCAGAAATTGGAATTCTTTGAGAATTTCAGATCCTAAATATTTTGCCATTATATAGCTTAACTAAAGAACTGACTTAACACACTAAAAGTTAAATTACTAACAGAATCTGAAAGTCACCAATTTAAAACGCAGGAAAACAGCCAAATGCAGGATGCATTAATAATTAGTCAAGGCAACGCGAAAAAGAAGTCAAAGAATGCGAAAACTTTCAGGTGCTGTAACTGTAACAATAAAGACTAAAGAACGTCAGAATGTAAACAAAATAAAAGCAAAAATCCTAATCAAGAATCCTCCAAATCAAGTTGTTCTCTCATCATTGTGAATACAACGCCAGAATTAGGAACACATAATTGGTACCTTGATTCAGGAGCAACAGCACATATGACCAATGACAGAAGTAAATTCACGTCAATAACTGAAATAAAAAGTTCAGTTAGCAAATAATGAATTTTTAGAAGTTAAAGGAAAATGGAAAGTTGAAATTTATGCCAGTGCCTATTCCACTCGACACATCATATTTAATGATGAATTAACACGTCCCCATCCTAAAAAGGAACTTAATTTCAGTAAACGTAGTAACGCAACGTAAATGTACTGTCTACTTTAGAAATAACCAAACGGGGGTTAAAAACAAAAAGACATGCATAGTCTTAAATGCAACTAGGCAAAATGACCTATTTGTTATAAACCAACAATTGACAGTTGAGAGCAGAGTCTGAATACCCGTGCGGCTTACTGGGACTATTCGGGTCTAGTCCAGACTCCACAAATATCCGGGGCAACACTTCATGGGTACCATAAGAACATACAAGGATCCAGTTTCATAATACATGCTTACATAGTTCATATATACACGTGCTTACATAGTTCATAATATATGCTTACAGTTCATAATAGATGGCTCTTATCATAACTATGATATGTCTCTTCATATTTAAATCAAGTTTGGAGAAATTTCCTAGTAGAGTTTAAACTGCTACCAACAGCTACAGCTTTCCTTCTAACATTTTTAATATGGTCTGTCCAAGTCAGAGGTTTATGAATGACTACGCCGAGATAAGTAGCTTTCTGTACAATTGGAATTACCTCGTTGAACAGATATAGCTTTTTAGAAAAAAAAAAGTGTTGGGATGCCTGCGGCGAATTACCAGTAGTTGAAATTTATGCTCGTTTATCGCAATTTTCCAGTTCTTGCACCATAATTCCTAGCTCGGCATTATATCTTGTAATTTGTGGATTGCATGATCCAGCTTTCTTGACTTGATGATATGGCAAAAGCCGTATCATCAACGTAATACCCTAAAAAGCCCGTGATCCCTGTGATGAATATGTGATTTGGGAAGATCTGCAGCATAGAATAGATAAATTATGGGACCTAAAAGGGAACCCTGGGGAACACCGGCTCTTATGTACTTCTTATCAAATGAATCTTTGCCCATATTGACGTAGAAAATCCTATTTTGTATAAAAGAGGTGAGAAGAATCATTTCTCTATTAAAGTTAAGTTGAATTAGCTTGTAAATTAGCCCTCATCCCAGGTGCGGTCGAAAGCTTTCGCCACGTCTGTCATGATTAAAGGCAACACATAACTTGTTATGGAGAGCACTACCGATGAACTCGAACAGTCTAACAAGTTGCTTCGTGGTGGAAAGTGAGCGTCTGAAACCAAATTGTTCCTCAAGGAGTAAACTCAAATAAGGTGAAATCTTGTAAGAATAATTTTTTCAAAAATTTTGCCGAGGCTTGCAAGCAGGCTAATGGGTGTGTAACCATCTGGAACGGTTAAATTTTTTCCCGGCTTTGACAGTAGGATAACTTTGGCATTTTTACATGCACTCGGAAAGTATGAATTTTCCAGGTAGGCATTTAATATGGTCGTAAACTTCTTAATCACATTCAACGGAAGATTTTTAATGGCAAAGTTCGAAATTGCATCATGGCCTGACGTTTTCCTATTTTTCACAGATTTAATAAAGTTTCTATGTAGTGATATCAATCTTATTCTTTACAGTGGGCGCTAAAAGCCATTTATTAATAAAATTGTGCACATATTGAACAAAGTCAGGATTGCAAGGATTCTCGTTTGGTGAGAATTGCTTTTCTGAATAATCAGCCAAAACAATTGCTTTTTTCCTCATTATTGCGTGCAGGTTTTCCTTCAGGATAAATGGATTTGCTAATGGTAGGTTTGCGCTTCAAATTGCGAGCAAACAACCAAAAAGAATTTTTAGTTTCATTAAAATTAAAAACTTTTGTCTTCCCATTTTTCTCTTCTATAAATTCTGATTTCCTTCTTAATTGCTCTATCCAGCTTAAAAAAGGAGTAAATAAGCAATTAACTCCTTTTTTAAGCCGGGCTCCCAGAGCTTTCGTATTTTATTACTAACTATAATTTTCTCTCCAATACAAGGGGGAAGCCTGTCAGCACAATGATCAGTAAGGTAATGTTTTAGTAGCATTAGTAAGAGCAGAATTATTTTTTCGGTGAGCAGATCGACGACAGCATTTATATCACTGGGAGTTTTGAGACTTGTAATCATTGGTGGGTTATTGGTAAGAAAATTATTATATAGTTTCCAATCTGTAATTTTCTTCGCAATATTTCA